GGGTCCCCAGACCCTGAACTGACAGGGGCCAAATGCTCCCATTACCTACCCCCAAGAACATCATCGAAGGGACGGAGCTAAGAGTGACCTTGACGTGACACATCTGTATTAGACACGGGAACAGCTTGCTCTGCTCCCACTCACTCACCTGGCCTCTTTCTTCCAAAACCTAGTTGGTCGCTGGGGCGAGTGGCATCGTTAGGGCTCCGCTGCATGCCACCCCTGGCGGCTGGTGGCATCTCGTGCTTTCTTTGCGAAGCCGAGAAGCCCCTTCCCGTACCAGGGAGGGACACCTTACCTGTTCTAAACTTCCGGGTACTTAGACATGGGAACAAGGCTAAGACGATTACAAGAAAATATATCCAAGTAAATACTTTATTATTTATTTCAAAAGTTTTTTTCCTTTATTGATTTTTAGAGAGAGAGGAAGTGAAAGGGAGAGAGAGATAGAAACATCGATGAGAGAGAACACCCATTGGCCGCCTCCCACATGTCCCTAGTGGGGGTCAGGCCCACAATCTGGGCATGTGTCCTAGCCGGGAATCAAACCGGTGACCTCTTGATGCGTGGGTCAATACTCAACCACTGAGCCACACTGGCCAGACTATACAAGTACATACTTTAAATGCTCCAGATTCTCTTCCTAGAGGCTGGAGCTGCAGCAGTGTCCTGCAGATGCTGCAAGGCAGGGAAGGTGGGAGGTGCTCCCCCTGTAAAGGAAAGAATGTGGCACTTTTAAAATCCAAGCGGCTGCAGGCTGGGGAGCTGCTGCAGTCCCAGGAACAGGCCCAGCTCTTCTCCAGCCTCCTGAAGGGTTAACAAAGGACATGAAGAGGGGCTCTTACCCAGACTGCAGAAGCTACTGGGGGGAGGGGCACGCCTCTCCCTGTAAAAGGAAACAAAGTAGAGACCTTTAAACTATGCCACAGCTATGCCCTGGCCAGTTTGGCTCAGCGGTTAGAGCGTTGGCCTCCGGATCTAAGAGTCGCGGGTGCAATTCAGGTACCTCATCGGCCCTGCTCAGGATTGTGCGGGAGGTGACCAATGTGTCTCTCTCCCATCAATGTTTCTCTCTCCCTCTTCCTCACACTGTATGTGAAGCTAAATGAAAACAGTATCCTTGGGTGTGGTTTCGTGGGGAGCCTCAACCTGAGACCTACTCTTGTGAGCCCATCAGGGACCTCAAGCTCTTCTTCAAGAAACAAATCTTGCCCTGGCCGGTTTGGCTCAGCGGTTGGAGCGTCGGCCTACGGTACAGAGAGACCCGGGTTCGGTTCCCGCTAAGGGCATGTACCTCGGTTGCGGTTTGTCCCTGGCCCTGGTTGGTCGTGCGGGTGGCAGCCACTCGATGTGTCCCTTCACATCGATGTTTCCCTCTCTCTCTCTTCCTCTCTCTCCCTCCCGCTCTATCTGAACAAGAAATGGAAAAATGTCCTCGGGTGAGGATAAAAAAAAAAAAAAAAGAAACAAATCTTGTTCCAGATAAGTAAGGTCGTGACTAGGCATTCATAGAATTGTCTTCCGCCCCTCTAACCGTCTTTTGTCAAACTTGTCAAACGTGTCACTTCTAGGAAACAGCACCTCCTCTTCAAGAAACAAAGACTGTTCCAGGTAAATAAGGTCGTGACGAGGCATTCATAGAATTGTCTTCCGCCCCTCTAATCCGTCTTTTGTCAAAAGTGTCACTTCTAGGAAACAGCACCTCCATGTCAAAATGATGCTTGGGGGGTTCCAGCCCCCTCCTACTTTGGAGGAATCAACCAAAGGCCTCTCGGTTCCAGTCTCCAATCCCCTTCCCTTGCGGCCCTTAGATCAGGCGGGGAAGAGACTTCCAGATCCCACACAGGTGTGGACTACGACCGATTATCAGCAGGAACAATAACGGAAGGACCATCCTCCCTCTTCAACCCCAAAAGCTTTTAAGGATGAAGTCTCCGGGGGGTGGGGGTGGGGACGGAATGGTGTAGGAGAATGAAAAGCTAGGGAAATTCTGGGACATGGGGAATAGGGAAACTGAGGCAGGAAAGCTCAATCAAGCCCGATGGGCTGCTCGCAGCAGGCCTTACCTTGAGAACAAAGGGTTAAAAGCACTCCTTCTCCAGAAGGATGTAGGGGAGGAGGAGGGGATGGGAGATCACTTGGTGCAAATGACCCTGAAATTGTTAAAACTGCAGGGAGGAGGGGAAAGAGGAGAATAAACAAAAAAAGCCAAGTACTCCCCCTACATTGTGGGAAAGTCGTCACAAAGAAAAGGGGAGACCTTAGGGTCCATCTGTACCAGGACACCAGGCAGAGGAACTGCAGAAGGACAATTTAGAGACAGCCGGTCCATACGCAGGAAATCCCCACCCCGCTCGCTCTCGGATTAGCTGAGCCTCCTGTGCTCCAGAAGCCAGATGCATAGGTTTGCTTCGTTAATAAGCGCGCATGTCTTCATGTCTTAATAAATTCCCTTAGCCCTGGCCGGTTTGGCTCAGCGGTTAGAGCGCCCGCCTGCGGTCCAGAGAGACCCGGGTTCGGTTCCCGCTAAGGGCATGTACCTCGGTTGCAGTTTGTCCCCGGCCCTGGTTGGTCGTGTGGGTGGCAGCCACTCGATGTGTCCCTTTCACATGGATGTTTCTCTCTCTCTCTCTTCCTCCCACTCTGTCTGTACAAAAAATGGAAAAATGTCCTCGGGTGAGGATAAAAAATAAAATAAATAAATAAACAAATTCCCTTAACATGCGCCTTATCTAGAGTCTCTCATTTACATTCATTTATATGAGAGGACAGGGGTCAAGGTCGGGTCAGCCCGCTCCCTGACTCTGGGGGCTGCCCCACACCTCTCCGGTGCTGGGAGAAGTGCCTATCACGATGGCACCGGAGCCCACCCGTAGCCTGTCACTGTGCCCACCTGCACCCACGGGAGAGCTCAGCAAACGTGCGTCGAGTGACCACATAAGCTTTTCAGCAGGCTCCTGTGGAGGGGGCTCTAGGACCCCTGCCCTGAGGGTCTCCCACACCTCTTTACAGTGCAGTCCCCTCTGGGGCCATCTGGAGCCAGCCCCCCACCCCCACCCCAGGTCCCCAAAGGCTGCCCTGCCAGGTGGGCTCCTGCCCGGGCAGGCCTCCCACTCGAACCCCACCCTCCTCAACCCCCTTCGAGACCCTAGCTCCGAGGGACACCTCCTGGCCGAGGAGAGGCATTCCCACGCTGGTTCCCTGGGGGGGAACGCACCCCGGGCCTGGTCCTCTCTGCTCCTGCTCCCTGCCTCCTTCTCTTCCCTTCCCAGGCTCAGCTGGGCCCTGGGCCAGAGCCTGGCTCCTCCAAGGGCAGGGTCCAAGCCCCGTCCTCTCAGGCCTGGTGGGGTTCCACCCAAGGGCAGCTCAGGACATCAGGGGGCCCTGCTGGGCCTAGTGGGGTGAGGTGGGGGTTCTGGGGGCACAGCGGGGGGGGGTAGGCCTGCAGCATGCCTGCCTTTCATGCCCTTGTATGGGAAGGCTTTGTTTCCTCGTTCTCAGCTGCTGGTGCAAGCTCCTGCCTCTGGGCTTTCTGGGGAAGAAAAGACCTGGGAGGGGGGAGAGCTGGCGGGAAACAAGGGCCTGGAGCCCTTTGCTGGCCCCACCCAGGGACTTTGCTGGGGCTCAGCCAGGCGGGGCTCCGAGGAGGCTGAGCCAACTCCTGGGGTTCCCACCCTCCCCTTTGGGGTCCGAAACAGAAAGAAAGGCTCTTTTGCTGGGCCTGTGACACCAGACCCTCAGTCCGGGCAGCGATCCCAGCCCAACTGACCCTGCCGGTTCCAACCGACCTGGGTGTTGCCCAGCCCCTGCCCCCATCAAATGCTGCCTTTCTGGCCCCCCCAGCCCCACCCCTGTCGCTGGCACTCCCAGAGGGTGGTCTTGCCACATGGCTTCCTGCTGCTATTAGGCTGGGTTCTTCTTGGTGCTGGAATTCCCATTCTGCCCAGTGCACAAAGTGAGGGTGGCCTCTGGCCAGGGAACGGGGTGATGCTCGGCCAGCTGGCACACAGGGCATGGGGGGGGGGGGTCGAAGCACAGAAGCCAGACATTTTGAGGGACGGAAAGGCAGAGCTGCTTCTGGGGTGGCTGAGCACTTTCCAGCCCAGACAGCATCCTGGGACCTGTGTGCTGTCAAGCCTGGCTTGGGGGACCCTCTCCCATAACTCCAGGACAAGGTCTCTTGTGCAAAGAGACCTGTCTCCTGCTCCCTCCGTGGGAAGGCCTCCCCTGGCCAGGCTTCTGGACAGGAGCTCCCCAAGCAAAGGAGAAAACAGGATGGCCCTGGCCCTGAGTCAGGAGGTCACTTGTTTCTGGATTTGGTGACCCATGGCCATCCTGCACCTCACCTTTCAACTTGGCACCGGAGCCCATATGACAAGGTCTGGTTTCATGCTGCTTGGCTGCTCAGTTTTGAGCTCCCAGCACCCCAAGGGCAAGCCCCGCCTGAGTCAGCTCAGCAACCCTGGGGCCCGACCCGACTGGTGAGGTGTTGGGCAGCGCAGCCCAGGGCTGGGTCCGCACAATAGGCTGGCCAGCCCTTCTTACAGGGAGGTATGGCAGGGACCCAGCCTGCCTGTGAGCCAGCCCAGTCCAGCCCACCCCCATGCCAGGCTTCCTGCCCAAAGCCACACCACCACCACCCCAGAGGATGAGGGGTTCTCAAGGTCCTGCCCCAGTGGCACCTCCAGTGTCCACGACCCTCGGGGTCAGTGGGAGGTCAGGGGCGATGAGTCTTTTGGGAGAGGGTAAGGGGACAGGAAGGAAGGTAGGCAGTAGCTTCAGGGGCCGGGGCTGCGACCTGGGTGACTCACCGCTGAGTCTCACCTTGCTGGAGCCGGCCTGGGAGGGCGGTGGGCGGGGCGGCCCGCCAGGGGGCGTGGCCAGCGGTGGCGGGTGCTGGTCCTCGCCCCGCCCCGGGAGCCTACCCCGCGGCCCCGGGACCTGGGCCCCGGCTCCCCGCCGCCCCTCCGTCTGCGCCTGGACCGTCCGCTCGCCCGCCCATGGCCGGGAAGGTGCTGTCGCTGCTGCCGCCGCTGCTGCTGGCCGCCGCGGGCCTAGCCGGCCTCCTGCTGCTGTGCGTCCCCACCCGCGACGTCCGGGAGCCGCCCGCCTTCAAGGTGCATGCTCGGGCAGCCGGCTCGGCGGGCGCGGGCTCGGGGACGGAGCCTGCGCGGCCGGCGGCGCCCACGCGGCCGCCCGAGAGCCCCCCGCGCTCCTCTGCCGGCTGGGTCCGCGGGACCAGGCGGCGCTTCCGGGGAGACGCGGTGCGGAGGCCGCTGCTGCGGGAAGTACCCGCTTGCCCAGCCCTCCGCCAGCCTGCCCGGGCGCTGCGGGGGCTGGTTCCCTGCTGCCCAGACGCGCCCCGGCGCCAGATCCTGGCTGGACGCGGGTAGCCCACAGCAGTGCGGTGGGTCAGGGCTCAGCCTAGATGGGGTGCGAAGGCGCCGGGCCCAGGAAACGCTTCCCACTTCCTTGGTGGTCCTGACAGTGAGGCAGCTGCCCCTGAGGGGGGCCTAGCGGTGGGGGGTCAGACCTGACAGGTCCTAAAGGGGTTGGGGTGGGCGAGGCCAGGCCCAGCCTCCAGGAGCCCAGCTGGCTCCCTTAATCCGTTTGCGCTTGTGGGGGTGAGAGGGGCTTGGTGTGTGTGTATTGGAGCAAGCCCAGAAGCCCAGGATGGGCCATGGCAGGAGTGGGCACTCTGTAGCCAAAGGCCACCCCGGGCAGGGGGGGAAGGGGGGAGTTGGTCTGCTGATCTGTGATGCTGGCTGGAGTTCGGTCGTGGGGGGAGGGCTGGAGTGGCCCCTTCAACCCCAACCTCGCCCCAGGGCTCAGGAGGGCATGTTCTCCAGCCTGACTCTGCCTGTTGGAATCCAGGCCCTTGGGAGCAGGTGCCGGGAAGTGGCTTATCGCACCCAACCTGCACCGAGCGGGGAAGGCGGACCAGCGCCCCCTCCGTTCTGCCGGCCTGAGCTCTTAATGGCCCAGGGCGTGGCGCCTTCTGGCAGGGCCAGCGAGGATGGAAGCCTCTCCCATCCTTCTCCCTGGGGCACTGGCTTCCACCTCCTCAGGCTGGGCTGAGGTCAGAGACAGTGGGATGGGGGAGGAAGGAAGAGCTGGCCCTAGATGGTTCTGGCAGCTGGGCTTCATTCCTGGAGTCTGGGGACCTCGTGTCCCCAGGACAAGATTCCAAAGGTGGTCCTGGGACTACGCTCTGATCCTGACAGCCCCTCTGTTTGTCCTTGCCAAGACGGTTCCTACCCTCCGGGGGAGAGGCTCCTGGCCCCATCCTCCAACCAATCTGTCTGTGGCTATTCCTGGCCTCCACAGGGTGGGGTGGGGTGGAAAGCGGGAGCGTGGGCAAAGGGCACGGGCTTCAGGCCCCTCGCTCACCCCTGAGAGTGACCCCTCCAACCCTACCCCTAGTACGGCATTGTCCTAGACGCGGGCTCTTCCCACACATCCATGTTTATCTACAAGTGGCCGGCGGACAAGGAGAACAATACCGGCATCGTGGGCCAGCACAGTTCCTGTGATGTACGCGGTGAGGGTCCCCAAGCACTGGGTGTGCTCTGGCCTCAGGGCCCTCTGGGGTCTTAGCCTCTGCAGGCCCAAGCAGCCAAGCCCCTCTGCTTAGTGCTGGGTGGGGCCCGCTCCAGGCCGGAGTTGCAGGAGCCCCCCAAAGAGAGGCTGGTCCCTGAGCCTCATAGGGGCTGTAGGCACCTCCATTCTAGAAAGGAAGCCCGGGAAGGTTGGGGCCTTGCCTGGCCCAAGACTGTTCGCTGCATCCCAGACAGAGCAAGAGGGGCTCTGAGGAGCCGGTGGGTGCGTGCACGCGCGCGTGCACACACACACACACACACACACCCTGGCAGGCCCCCGGGAGGTTAGGCCAAGCTGACAGTGCCCCTTGCTTTGTCCTGGCACCTGTGCACACACCCACTGCTCAGGTGGCAGCCTCAGACTCTGGGTGGCACTCGGGCGGGCCCCTTTGTGTGTCCTTAAGCGGCCACCTGGTTTGGGAGCCCAAGCTCCCCAGACCTGAGGGCTGACTGCCAGGCTCAGCCCATCTCACTAACTCCCTCTAGGTGGGGGCATCTCCAGCTATGCAGACAACCCTTCTGGGGCAGGCCAGAGTCTTGTTGAATGCCTGGACCAGGCCCTTCGGGACGTGCCCAGGGAGAGACATGTGGGCACACCCCTCTACCTGGGAGCCACAGCAGGCATGCGCCTGCTCAAGTGAGTGTGCCCACCCCCTGACCTTCCTGGCCCCGGGTCCCCACAAGCCCTCTGCAGCAGCCCTGGGCTGGGGCCCTCTTGGCTGGCGAGCTGGGCAGACACCATGTACCCGAGCAGCAGGATCACAGCCGCCGGGAAGAACGCCTCTCAGAGACCTCCCTGTATCGCAGTCTGAGCAGTCCAGAGGCCTCAGCCAAGGTGCTCGCGGCTGTGACGCGGACGCTGACCCAGTACCCCTTTGACTTCCGTGGTGCCCGCATCCTCTCAGGCCAGGATGAGGGAGTGTTTGGCTGGGTGACCGCCAACTACCTGCTGGAGAACTTTATCAAGGTGGGCCTGCTGGCCAGCCCCGTGGGCCAGGGGGTGTGAGCACCCACCCACGGGCTGACCCCAACCTCCACTCCTCGCAGTATGGCTGGACAGGCCAGTGGCTCCAGCCAAGAAAGGGAACGCTGGGGGCCATGGACCTGGGAGGCGCTTCCACACAGATCACCTTCGAGATGGCCGGCCCGGCTGAGGATCCAGATAACGAGGTCCAGCTGCAGCTCTACGGCCAGCAGTACCGCATCTACACCCACAGCTTCCTCTGCTATGGCCGCGACCAGGTCCTCCAGAGGCTGCAGGCCAGTGCACTCCAGGTGCTGCGCCCCGAGACACCTGAGGACTGGGCCCTGCTGGAGGGAGGGGGCAGGAAGGGATGGGCCCCAGGGCACAGAGCAGAGCCGAGACCAGCGGTACGGAGGAGGGCTTCTCCAGGCAGCAGGAGCCGAGAGCTCTAATCCACTGGAAGGACCCGTGGGGAGGGACCCAGTGTGGACAAAGGCGCAGTGGCTGGGGTGCGCCTGCTGAGTGCCAGGCTGGGGAGCAAGGAGGGCCAGGGCCAGATCTCAGAGGGCCTGGAGTACCCGGCCACGGTTTGGTTTTTGCGCAGCAGCAATGGGGAGCCACGGATTGCCGCTGGGTACAGAAGTCACCAAGTGGGGCTTGTGGGAGATTCATCAGGCTGGTTTTCTGGGGAGGCCCTCCAAGCGTCCTGGTGTAGACAGTGCTTAAAGTGGGGGTGGTATAACCCCCACCATCCCTCCCCAGACCCACAGCTTCCACCCCTGCTGGCCGAGAGGCTATTCCAAGCAGGTGCTGCTCCAGGCTGTGTATGAGTCGCCATGCACCAGAGACCAGCGGCCCCACACCTTCAACAGCAGTGACAGGGTCACTCTGTCAGGGGGCAGTGACCCTGCCCTCTGCCGTGGCCTCGTCTCCAGGCTCTTCAACTCCTCGTCCTGCCCCTTCTCCCGATGCTCCTTCAATGGCATCTTCCAGCCCCCGGTGGCTGGGGACTTTATTGTGAGTGCAGGGAAGAGGGTGGGGGACCAATGCCCTGCAGCGCCTGGGCTGGGCTCCATGTGACCTTACCCCCTCGCAGGCCTTCTCTGCTTTTTTCTACACCGTGGACTTCCTGAGGACGGTGATGGGGCTGCCTGTGGCCACCCTGCAGCAGCTGGAGTCTGCTGTGGTCACTGTCTGCAACCAGACGTGGACTGAGGTGGGAACAGCCAGCACAATGCCGTGTGACCGCGGGGAGCGGGGACCGGACAGGTTGGGAGGAGGTGCAGGAGTGGGACTCTGGAGAGACTTAGCAGGTAGCATTGGCTCAGGTGAGGACTGAGGACAGTTGCCAAGATGCTGGATTCTGCCACTAGCCAGACACAGGTGCCAAGAAAAGGCAGGTGGAGAGGTTAGGGCCTGTGAGGCGTGAGGTGCCCACCAGAGACTCTGGGAGAAACACATAAGTGTCTGTGGGCTCAGGGGTGATGGGAGCTTTTGTCCTCTGTGTGTAGTGGCAGACAGAAGTGGGGGGAGGAGGCAAGCCCAGGGACTGGGGCTCAAGCCTGGAGCTTCTTCTCCTGTTCCCCCGCCCACATGCTGAGGTTGCTGCAGCTCTCTGCTTTCTGGGTGGCCATCCTTGCCGTCCACTCCTAAGCCACCTCCCAAACACAGGTGCTCAAAGCCGTCCTGAAGTCACGTTGTTCTTCCCGGAGGGAATAACCCTGCCTGGGGCCCCTCAGCCTTGGCCTCTGTCTTTCTACCCGGCATTGCGTGTGTGTGTGTGTGTGTGTGTGTCCACCCCTCCTGGTGGGGCCGAGACCTGCTAGCCTGGGGCTTAACACTGCCCCCCTGTTCCAGCTGCAGGCTCGCGCGCCGGGGGCGGGGGCCCACCTGCCCAACTACTGCGCCGGGGCCATGTTCGTGCAGCAGCTGCTGAGCCGAGGCTACCACTTTGACGAGCGCGCCTTCAGCCGGCTGACCTTCCAGAAGAAGGTGGGAGCTGGCCGGAGGGCCGTGGCGGAGGGGCGGGGCCGTGGGCGGAGGGGCGGGGCTCCCGGCGCTCCGCGGAGGCTGAGCCGCGCCCCTCACCCCCCTCACCCGCAGGCCGGGGACACCGCGGTGGGCTGGGCGCTCGGCTACATGCTGAACCTCACCAATCTGATCCCCGCGGACCCGCCGGGGCTGCTCAAAGGCATCAACTTCGGCTCCTGGGTCGTCGTCCTCCTGCTCTTCGCCGCCATACTCCTGGCCGCGGTGGCCCTGCTGCTGCGCCAGGCGCGTCCTGCCAAGTCGCCCAGCGCAGTCTAGGGACTGCCTGGGGGCAGCTGCCCCAGCCCCATGTCCCCCCACCCCTCACCTCACCCCACCCTCAGCATCTCTGCCCCTAATGCAGCCCGGAAACCGAGGCAGAGACTCTGACACCCGCTCCCACAGCGGGCCCGGGTGGGCGAGGGGAACCGAATCCTGCCCTCCAGCCTTGGCTCTATCTCCAGGCCTGGTGCTCCTCCTCCTCCTGCTGAGGGTGGGTAACAGACACCCCTCAGCCCTCAGCCGGTGACTACAGGGCGGGTCTCCAGGAAGTGGAGCTTTTATTCTGATACTCAGGGCCCTCAGAACCCCCCTTCCCAATCTGGTCTGTGTTCCGAGGAGGGTCAGAGCCCAGGGGCTGAGATCCTGACCAGCGCCAACTTGTAAAATTTTGTAATAAAAAGTTTGTCCTAGAGCAGTGGACAGAATGCTGTTGCCTGACCTCCCTCCCCACAGCTGTGTTGGCCACACACGCTCACTCCTGGTCCCTAGGGTGGGCCTTGGCTCTTCTTACTTCCTCTCTGGGTCCAGACCTGGGGCGGTGCTGACCAGGGTCCGGTGCTCCACTGTTGTGGCCTGAAGTAGCTGCTGGATGGCTGGCCAAAGAGTCCCTGAGTCCCTTGAGTCCTCTCTGGCCAGCAGAGCCCCTGCAGCACCCCCAGGGATCTAGAGTGGGCCTGGGCATGGGGATTGGGGGAGTGGAGATGGCATAGAGGGTAGGTCACGGGCAAAGCAGATGCCTGGGGTCCCAGCAGTGCTAGAAGAGACTGGGGGAGGGGCAAATCCTCAACAGGAGTTGGTGTGCAGGGATGTTAAGATTAGGGCCAGGAGGGATGCTGGGCTCCATCTCTGGGAGGGGTGAACCTTATGTAGAGCCTGGGTCTAGAGCCAAGCTTCGCCAGTGCACGGGCAGACAGCTGGCCTCCTGCCTGGGTGCTTTTCATCCCCAAGAGACAAGCTGGCAACCACCTGCGCTCTTGCAGCCCCTCCCCCCCAAGCACCGTTTTCTCCAGGCATGGGGTGTGATCTTGGCTGCATCTTCCGTCTGCCTGGAACTTCCGGGAAGTGAGCTCTGATACTTTCTGTCTGGTCAGTGCCCTGTGCGGGAGGATAGCAGCCTTGTTTTGCTCCCCACCACCCCCGCACCCCACCCTTCTGCCGGCTTGTGAGCCATTTTACAAGCATGAGGACAGCCAGCCCCATCTTCTGAGTTCAGAGACACAAAGCCTGAGAGGGAGCATCGGGTTGAGGGGTTCATCCTTGTTCCCTCAATGGCTCGAGCCAGAGGGACGTTTCCAGGTGCGATGAGGTGGGTGTGCTCTCAGGAGGCAACAGGTGGAGTGTAATTGGGTGCATCATGGCTGCTTTGTTGTCCTGGGGCCCCAAGGAACTAAAAGGCTGTCACCTGGGGACCGTGGACAGCTCCCAGTTTGCTCTCATCGACAGCTCCAGGCCACTCTTGCCCCCTGGTGGCTTCATTTGAGAGCAGCTGCCCCATTCCAACCCTACAGGCCATCTAGTTCTGGGCGTGTGTTTGCTTTTAGGAGTGTGTCTCTGAGTGCCCGGTGCGTCTTTGGGCACTCTGCGCATTCCCGTGCACTTGGCCACCTGTGCGCGCCTGGTGTCCCTGTGTTCCTGGTTGCTCGCGCCGCCAGATCCGGTCAGGTCCCCTGCTCCCGCGGGTGGAGGTGGAGTGGGAGTTGGCAGCCCCACGGTGAGGGTGAGAGAAGCGCATCGGGGAAGCCCACCCACAGCCAGACCCTAGTCGGACTTTTGGGGACCAGAGACGGGTGCAGAAGCCATAGAGGTGGAGGTACCCTGAGACCCAGAGAATGCAGGATGGATCAGAACAGGAGAAAGGGGGAGGGGCGCAGGACGAAAACGCGGTCCCGCCCCCGCAGGTGGAGCGCGCAGGCGCACTACCCGCGCGCTGCCTCCCGTCGCTGCGCCTGCATCCCTGATCCTTTGCCGCAGCGTCAGCGCCGCGCCGCCGCCGCCTCTTTTCCTACTCCTCCTGCACGGCCTCCACCTCCTCTTCCTCCTCCGCTCCCTCCTCCTCCGCCTCCGCCAACGCGGCTCTCCGAGCCCGCGCCCAGCCCCGGGCGCTGCGGTGCCATGCTGCCCCGGCGGTGGCGCTGAAGGATGGCGACGCCTGTCCCTCCGCCCTCCCCGCGGCACCTGCGGCTGTTGCGGCTGCTGCTCTCCGGCCTCGTCCTCGGCGCCGCCCTGCGCGGTGCCGCCGCCGGCCGCCCGGGTGAGCGACAGCGCTCGGTGCAGGCCGCAGGGCGCCCCGGGGCCGGGGTGGCTGGGCGGGGGGCGTGCTGGGCGGCGTCGCCGTCGTTCTCAGAGCCGCCGCCCTGTCCCGGGCCCGCAGGCCCCGCAGGCCCCGCAGGATCCGCAGGCCCCGCAGGCCCCGCAGGCCAGGCCCGCGCCCGCTGCGCCAGCCCAGCCTCGAGCGGGATGGGGCAAACAGGCCCGGGCCGCCCTGGGCCTCCACTGCACGGGGCTTCTCCCGGGTCCTGCTGGCGAACCCGAAGTTAACGGCTTCTTGTCTTTGTCCGTGAGCCTGTCTGTGTCTGTGTCTTAGGAGGGCTCCGTGTCTGGCCTGCCGACGCCGTCGGTCCTGTGCGCCTTTCTGGGGTTCGCGTCCCTTGCTATTCGTGTCCGCTCTGGAGCCGGGGTCGCAGGCCTGCTCCGCCTGCCCCCGTGCCTCTGGCGGTGTTGGGCATGTGACTTGGTTTGCTGCCACGATCAGGGTCTGAAAGTTCCCAAGGTCTCGGACAGCTTGCTCCAGGCTTAGGGTATTGTTCTGGCTTCAGTGGAAGCCAGAGGGCTTCGGTCTCAAGCTTCCTCCCGCACCCTCTGCCCTGGAGGACCCCGCCCTTCTGTCTTCTGTGCTAGGGGCTGAGGGGCACCTCCAGGGGTAGACTCCAGCAGAGAGTGGTGAGCTCCAGGCCTGGGAGACCCTCCCTGCTTCTCAGATGGGCACAGAGGTTCCAGGCAGTGACGGTCTGCAGGGCCCCAGGGCCCCAGTGGGCTGAACTGCAACAGTCTGTGTCCCCACGTTCACGCAGTTCTCCTGAGTGAACAAGGAGGTGCTGTTCTTAGCCCATTTTACAGATGATAAAACCCAGGCACAGGGAAATGAAGTGACTGGTTTGGTGGGATGCTGACCTGGGCAGTGTGGTTCTATATGTGTGGCCAAGAGGCCAGAGCAGGGCAGGCTTTCTCCTGGGCACGGCACCCCTAGCTGGTAGGCTGGCATGACCAGGAGAGGTGCCTGAGGAGGCCTGAGGGCCAGAGCCTGGCTGGCCAAGGATGGCAGGAGCTGCCTGCTGAGAGCCCGGCTCCAGGGACTTCTGACGGAAACGGGCAGTCGCCACTGTGCTGAGCCCCAGGGTGGGCAGGTACCATGCCAGCTGCTCTTGACTTTATGCTCACCCAGATGTGGGGTGGGGTGTCAGCCACTCTCCAGCTGCCATTGTTCCTGGAACCTCCTCTTGCACCCTGGGGCTGGAGTGGGGACTTTTCCAGGATTCAACAGGCAGCAGCCACATCCTCCTGGTCTAGGGGACTGGGAGTGTAGGGAGGCACCTGGAACCCAGACCCTGGAGCCAGCTTTGGACCTCAGGCCCCTACCCTTGGCCTGGTGCACTCTGGGTTCTCAGCACAGGGGCAGGGAGTGGAGTGCCTGGTTCCCCGGCACCCAGCTGGTGGGTGGGGTCCAGACAAACCTGCCTGCACAGGCTTAATGTTTAACCCAAACTCACAGTCCAGCTCATGGATGCTGGCGCCTGCTGGCCCAGGTTGTGCAGAATGGGGGCTGCTGGACTTCCCGGAGGGGATGCCAGCATCCAGGATGCTGTGACTGTCCGGTTACCATGGAAACCAAGTCAGACCAGTTAAGGTTTGGAGAAGAACAGGGCTGGGCATTCTCTGATCCCCCACACCACCCTTCACCCCAACGGCCCTCCTGCAATGTGAGGGCCTGGGCTAAGAGGGGTCCCAGTCCTCCAGAGGGACCCCCATCCTTACTTCCCCAAGCAGGATTGATGGTCTTGCTGGGTATCCCACTGGTTCTGCTGCCCAATGACTGGGGCCAGTGTCCCAGGCCTCAGGACATTCCTTAGCCTTGAGAGAATTCACTTTCTTTTTTCTTTAAAAAAAACTTTAGCCCTGGCCGGTTTGGCTCAGCGGTTACAGCGTCGGCCTGCGGTCCTGAGAGACCTGGTTTCGGTTCCCGCTAAGGGCGCGTACCTCGGTTGCAGTTTGTCCCCGGCCCTGGTTGGTTGTCAGCCACTCGATGTGTTCCTTTCACATCGATGTTTCTCTCTCTCTCTCTCTGTTCCTCTCTCTCCCTCCCACTCTACCTGAACAAAAAATGGAAAAATGTCCCCTGGTGAGGATTAAAAAAAAAAAAAAAAAAAAACTTTAGAGAGAAGAAAGCAGAGGGAGAGAGAGAGAAACATCGATGAGAGAGAACATCGATTGGCCGCCTCCTGCACACCTCCCACTGGGGATCGGGCCTACAACCTGGGCATGTGCCCTGACTGGGAATCGGAACTGGTGACCTCTTGGTGCATGGGTTGACGCTCAACCCCTGAGCCACACCAGCCAGGCAAGACAATTCACTTTCTGCACCAGAGGGGAAACCAAGGCAGAGAGGACCACTGCCCTCCATCCCTGAGTATCCGGATGGGATCTATTGGATGTGTGTATAGGACAATGGTCTGGGCCCCAAATCAGAAACTGGGCCTGGACAGAGTCCCAGGCACTCCCTGGTCCCTGGGAGTGGTGGTTTGGGAGCACCCCAGCCTGGATTCTGCTCCTAAAGCAAGTCAGACTGGCTGACTCTATCCCGTTTCCCAACCCCAGCAGCCCCCCTGTGACAAGCCAGAAGTTGGGCGTGGAGGGAGTGACTGTCTTCCAGGCCGGGCATTTATTCTGCCGTGCCTTCTGGCTCTGCCCTCTAGGGCTATGGGTTGACGTGGCAAGGTTTAGGAGGGCAGACCTCATGTACTGGGAGAAGTGGGTGGCCAGCATCCTTTGCTGCTCCTGAGCCCCACCCTCTAGGGCCCCCAGTCTAGACAGGCTTGCTCTGGGGTATACTGAGACCAGAGAGGATGTGGAGGACTGCACAGCCCTGCCCAGGAGAGCTCGGGGCTGTCCGGACCGTGAGGGTCAGTTTCCGTGCAGAAGGCTGGCTCAGGCTGGAAACTGGACTCTGGGGAGTGGGTGGGGCAGGGAAGTTCCAATAAGTCTTTGGACTGTTTGTCTTCCTGGTTCTGATTCCCGGTGGCTGGGAGGAAGGGCCTGCCCAGAACAATGGCCAGAGCCAGGCCTAGCCAGCTCTGTGGGGTGGGGGAGGGGTGCCTGGGACACTGTTGCCTCTGTGAAGGGCCTCAACCTCAATCTGCTTCTGCTTCCTTCCCAGATGAAACCACCTGTCCTGGGAGCCTGGACTGTGCCCTGAAGAGGCGAGCACGGTGCCCCCCAGGGGCTCACATCTGTGGGCCCTGCCTGCAGCCCTTTCAGGAGGATCATCATGGGCTCTGTGTGCCCAGGGTGCACCGGCCTCTGGGTACGGGAAAGGATATCCTTCCTCCCTTCCCCACCCTAACACACTTGCCCCCCAGCCTCAGCTCCAAGGTTCCCTGAGCTCTGTGGGATGCCAGGAACTCTCATGTCACCCTCCAAGTGGCCTGGTGATCCTTTGCAGATGGCACTGGCCCAGAGCCTGGTGGGAGACTGAGGCAAGTGATAGCCAGTGTGAAAGGCCAGGGTGATTCTGAGAGGCAGGGTCCGAGTTCCCAGGCCTGGGTCCCTGCAAAGTCTGCCCCAAACCCTTCAGACACCTCCTTTCCCCATCACGTCTTCTCCCTCGCTCACTCAATCACACCATGTGTGCTGGGGGTGCCCCACTTGCCAACCTGAGCCTGGAGTGGGGAAGGCCAGCCAGAGGCTGTGACTTCAGGTGTGCTGAGGCACTACCAGGGCTGCTGGGTGCTTAAGAGTCTGGGCTGGTGGAGGGGCTTCCTGGAGGAGCCGTCCCTGGCAGTGTGAGGGGGAGGGGCTGAGCCTGCAGGGCCTGCTGGAGGCGGTGTCCTGCTGTGCGTGGGTGTTGACCTAGAGCCTCTGTCTGACTTGCGGAGCCCACACAGGGAGAAGGGGGGCCAGCCATCAGCACCACCCGACAGCTGCCCACCCTCCTGGTGGGGGTGGGGGGGGACAATGGGGCCTCTCCCCACTCCTTGGGGAGTCGCTGCCCTCCTTGGCAGAGAAGGTGGTGGGGTGCAGTGATGTGTTGTCCTGATGCTCTGCCCACCCTTTTGCTGGTAAGGGGCACCCCGGCCCTTCTCCGGCCTATGCACATTCTCCTGGCACCTCTACCCTTTGCCCCTCCCACACTGTTCCTGGGAATGCTGCTGTTCACACAGAGCTCCCCCTCAACTGTCACCATGGCAACCCAGGATGACAAGAGGCTGCGGGAAGGTACCTGGTCCTCAGGCCACCAGTGCCTGGGGACTGACTGGCTCCAGGATGGGTCCCTCCATCTCTGGAGGCCACCTGCAGCTGGTGTCTCCAGGGAGGGGCTGGAGGCCTCTTCACCTGATGGCCCCTTATCCTCCCCAGGGGAGGGCCCGGCCCAGCCCAGACTGGAAGACGAGATTGACTTCCTGGCCCAGGAACTAGCCCGGCAGGAGGCAGGGCGCTGGCAGCTCACAGCCTTGTCGCAGCCTGAGTCGCCCCATGGGCTCCTGGAGCCTGGTGAGATCCCGCCCCATCCCCCTGCCCTGCAGCCTCCCCACCTCCCTGACCCCAGCCCGGTCCTGGTGTTATAACTCGCCTTCTCTCTGCAGCAGCCACCCTAGGACTCTCAGAGAGAGGCCAGGGCCCAGACCTGGGACTCCCTCCTACTCGGGGAGCCCCGGCGCCGACGCCCCACACCTCCTTGGGTTCTCCTGTGTCCTCTGGGCCTGTGCACATGGCTCCCCTGGAGCCCCGGGGCGGGCACGTGGATGGCCTCGCGCTCGGTAGGTCTGGGCCGGTGGGCGGGGCGGCAGGGCTCCACCGGGAGGGCCGCCCTCACCGCCCCCTCTCCGCGCCCCTCCCAGCAGTGCTCATCCTTGCGTGCTCCGTGGCCGGTGTGGCCGCCCTCGTAGTGGCTGCTTTCTGCTGGTGCAGGTGAGCCAAGGCCCGCGGACGGGAGGGCAGGAGCCACCCCGCAGGTCTCAGTCTCCCTCCACGCTGCTCCCCCAGGCTCCAGCGAGACATCCGCCTGACCCAGAAGGCTGACTACGCGGCCCCGCAGGTGTCCAGCTCCCCCACACCGTCGCGGATCTCGGTGCGTGGTCCTGCCCGGCCGGGCTCGCTGCCCCAGCCCCCGCCCCCGCCCCGCATCCCCCGCACCCCCCCCCCCCCCCCGCGCTGCGGCTTGACCCCCGCCTGCCCCCACAGCCCGGGGACCAGCGGCTGGCGCACAGCGCCGAGGTGTATCACTACCAACACCAGAGACAGCAGATGCGGTGCCTGGATCGGTGAGATACCCCCCCGACCCCCCACCCCAGAGCCAGCAACCCCCCAGTCCAGCATGGCCCAGGTGGCCGAGCACCCACTTCCACTCTGGGCCCCTGGCACCTGGAGGGTGAGGGAGGACCCGGCACCCTGCCCCCACCAGGCATAAAGAGCCTCCCAAGGAGTTGGACTCGGCCTCCTCCGAGGAGGAGAACGAAGACGGGGACTTCACGGTGTACGAGTGCCCGGGCCTGGCGCCGGTGAGTGAGTGGGGGCGGGGGGAGGGGTTACCAGCTCCTGGGGGCCTTCCTGGCCGCGGGCGCCCTGCCCCCTCCCTTCCCCAGGGCCTGACATCCCCCTTTGCAGACCGGGGAGATGGAGGTGCGCAACCCGCTGTTTGACCACTCCTCGCTCTCTGCGCCCCTGCCGCCTCCGCCGCAGTGACCCGCACGGTGACGCCCATCCTCTGGAGGACCCTCGGCTCAAGGGTGGGGAAGAGGGACCCGTGTTTCCCAATAAAGTAACTGCCTTCTGACACTTGCCCGTTCTTGTGGCTGGGCTGGGGTGCCAGCTGGAACCCCGTTGGGACAGGGCACCTTCTGTTTCCCCTTCACCTGTTCTTAGAGTCCGGCCCCCAAGGGAGGGTGGGAGAGGACCCTGAGACCAGGCATGGAGGGGCCTGCTGGAGATGAGCCAACTGAAGTGCTTTTCAGACCTGGCTTCTGAGCTGGAGACCCAGCCCCAGCCTTTGGGGCCATGGTGGATAGACCCTGCAGTGGGACCTGGGGCTTCCAACCACACCCCAAGAGAGGGGCACCTCTGCCCTGCTGGGGAAGGGAGACTTCAGTCTCTCTCTCTTTCTCCCCCCTCCTCCCTCCTTTCCACCTGAAAGTCAATGGCCAGGTGCTCACCCCGGCAGCACACACTAAAAGTGGACCGACACAGATCAGCACGGCCCTGCGCAAGGACGACACGCGGATTCGTGAAGCGTTCCATATTTTTAAATAAACAAATACAAATACAAATACAAATCAATGGGCCCTGGCCGGTTTGGCTCAGCGCTTAGAGCGTCGGCCTGCGGACCAAAGAGTCGCGGGTTTGATTCCAGTCGGGCAGGTGCCTCGGTTGCGGTTCATACTCCGGCCCTGGTAGGGGTCATGCGGGAGACAGCCAGTCGGTGTCTCTCTCTCGATGTTTCTCTCTCCCTCCCACTCTGTCTGAAAATGGGTGGGAAAATGTCCTTGGGTGAGGATTAAAAAAAAAAAAAAAATCAATGGAAAAATCTAGGGTGAGGACTAATGACAACAAAAGAGCTCGGTAGTGCGCATCCGCAGATCCCTGGCAGTGGGCACCCAGCACCCCCATTCCAGCCCATTGTCCACCTGGGTCAGGCAGAAGGAACAGAAGACGGCCAGAGTGTGGCTTGTCATGAGCACCACACAGGCCCCTGGGGGCGCTGCCCGGCACAGTGACTGAGGGACACAGGCGGGTCTACCAGGTGGGCTGGGGAGTGGAGAGGGTGGGGACCCCAATATCAGGAGCAGGATCTGGGCCCATCCCAACACCCCATTGAGGAACGAGAAGGGAAGGGGAGGGTGGCTTTCAGCTGAAGGCCCAGAGTGGGGTGTGTGTGGGGGTGGGGTACTGTTCTGTCAAAGCTGCTGAGACTGGGCCTGGAAAAGGGGTCTCTGGGGACAAGGGGTCAGACCTGTGTCCTACCATAGCTATGCAGGGGGAAGCATTGCATTCAGAAGTCCTTGGGTGGTTCCTGGGGGCGGGAGTCCAGAGAACGTTGGACCTCTGGCCCTTGGATGGTGGGGGCAGCCTTGAGTTGGACAGGTAGGTCCCCGAGGAGAGGCAGGTGGGGCTGGGCTGGCCCTGCTTGGAGCTAATGGCTTGTTCTAAATCAGCATGCTGCTTCTGCCCTGGACAGTTTGCTCAGCGGTTAGAGCATCAGCCCACAGACCCAGGAGTCGTGGGTTCGATTCCAGTCAAGAGCACGTACCTCGGTTGCAGTTTGGTCCCCAGCCCTGGTCAGGGTTGTGTGGGAGGCAACCAGTTGGTGTGTCCCTCTCACGTCGCTGATTCTTTCTTTCCCTCCTTCCCACTCTATCTGAAGATAAATAGGAAAATATCCTCGGTTGAGGATTAAAAATCAATCAATCAGCATGCTTCTGGTGTCAGAGCCCACCGTGCTGGGCAGTCCCTCCCCCGCCCCAAGCCCTGGATGGTGGCCTTGGCTGGCCCTCAGCTGCAGCCTCTCTCCCTTGGGCACTGCTGTGGGACCTGGACGGGGACAGCTGCCAGGGGCTGGGAGCCCGTGTGGGATGAGGGCACGGTGACAGGATCACATGTCCACTGGTATTTCACCTGTGCCATTAGGGGGGATAATGACAGAGAAAACGGGGTGCAGAGAGATGATGGCCTCAGGAGCAAGGTAGCCGGCACCCAGCTGGGTCTGCTCCAGGCCAGTCTGTCTCACTGCCCATCCTGCAGACCCAGGGCCAGGGGCTTCCCCCGGAGCTCTGGGCTCAGCCCCTCGGGTCCTGAACCGGGCAGAGAGCAGCCCCCCACTGTGCCCTGTCTTTTCACCTTCCTCGATGGTCCCCAACCTGTCCCCAGAGTCCCCGCAGCCACCTCCTGGGCCCCAGCAAAGAGGCCCTCCAGGGCAGCTGCAGTAAGAGGGAGCTGCAGCGGGCCAGGGCCGAGCAGGCGGGGCTGCCCCCCCCCCCGGAAGTGAGGCCTCCTCAGCCCACTCGCCTGGCACAGGCCCTGAGCAGCGCGGCACCCACTGCCCACTGGCTTTCAGGCCTCCATCGGCCCCTGGCTCACGCACCCAGGGCCAGTCCCCGCTCTTGTCCACACCCATAAACCCTCTACCTCCACAGGCGCTGGCGTGTGGGATGTGGCGGGCTGCCCTGCGACCAGTCTCCACAGGGACTCTGGAGACCCCAACCCCGGTGTCTGGATTGAGTCTCCCAGCTGCAGACCGGCCCCCACCCCAGGAGTGGGTCTCAGACCTCCGTGCGGAACAAAGGGTGTGAGTCCAAGTCAAGCAGAGCGAGTGGATCCCAGAGGAGCCCCCCAGATCCTGGAGCTCCTCCCCGACGAGCATGTGGTGGTGCTCCCAAGCCCGAGAGAAGGGAAAGGCACCGGAGAGGGGGGCTGGTGCCTGCAGGACACCCCTGGGCTCGGGTGGTCCCACTCAAGGCGCAAGGACAGCCTCTCCTGTTGCCTGCTCCCAATGGCTCCCAGCATCACCCAGAGCTGCCCCCTTGGCTGCGCCCCACGCTGGAGACCACCTGCCAGCCTCAGTGCACCCACTTCCCAAAGGGGTACCCTGAACTACACCCCGCTGCCCCACCCTCTGGTTCACAATCAACTGCTCTGGCTTCCCTGCCAGAGCGCGGCCACCAGGGGGCCTCGGTACGCAGGGTTGCACCCCGTCCAGCGCAGGCCAAGCAGGCCCTGGAGCCGGCAGATGGGCAGCGAGGCTCTGGCCTCTCTCCCCAAGGGCCCCTTGGTCTGGGCTGGGTGGCTTGTTGTCTGCAAGGGGCAGTGACCAGGGGGCTAGTTGCCTGCCCTTTACCTGGGCTTCAATTGGTGCCCACTGGGAGGTTGGCCCCGCAACAGGCCCGAGGGCTCAGCTGCAGTGACGGTGGGTTCCTGCCTCTGAGATGCTCCCGGGCCGTGAGCTGGAGTTGGGTGCCCACCTGCACCCCGAGGTCTGGGGAGGAGACCGCAGGAGGAGGCCCCCACTTCCTTTTCATCAGGCTCACCTTCCTTTCCTCTGAGAACTTCTTCTTCTGAACCATTTCTGGGCTCCCCCTTGGAGCCCCATTTCCCAGCCGCAGGTTCCCCTGAGGGGGCACCGTGGCGGCCAACGGAGTGGCAAGTTCTCATAAGGGAGCAGCAGAGCCAGGGCGGAGGTGGCAGGCGCTTTCGAATCCACCCAGGAAGGGAGCCGACTGTGGTGTGGGCGAGGCCTGTGGCAAGGGTCTGGGCCGGCCTGACCCAGCAAACAGGAAGGACAAAGGTTCTGGCAACCAGAAGCCAGGCTGCTATCGGGCTGCGGCAGGACCAGCGCCTTCCTGTGTGCCCTGCTGCCGCTGGGTGCCCGCCGCTGGGAAAAGCGGTGGGTTCGCACCAGGCCCAGAGCAGGGCGTGGCTCCTGTGGGGTCTCCTGCCAGAGAGGAGATGCCCGGGCGGGGCCAGAAGCCCAGTGCCACCGTGTTCATCTCCCTAAATGCTGGGGTGACTGGACGGCGGGGGCTGGTGACAGCCACCCTCTCTGTTCAGGTCCTGATGCTGGGCAGCAGGGAGCTAGGTGTGGCTGCTGCATCCACACCTTGGGTCTGCCAGAGGGTTTCCGACGACCCACAACCCTCCGCCCCTTCTTCGATATTGCACAAGGCCTCGCCACAGCTCAGAGGTTCTGCTGTGGGCGGGGAAGCTCTGAGGAGCCACACTCCCCCCTCTAGACCTGCCTGTGTCCTCTGTGGGTCTGCTACCAGCTCCCTGGTTCCCACCCTGATGGCAGTGGAGGAGCTGGGGGAGGCCAGCAGCCCCGGGACTCAAGAGCGGAGGACAGGAAGGCAGGACCGAGGGAGGCCTCCGGCGCAGCATGGGGCCGCAGACCCAGTCAGCGGTTCCTGGTTGCTGCTCTTTCTACAACATCTGGCCCGAAGCCCCAGGCACCCAACTGACCTGAGGCCTCCAGGACACTGAGCACAAGGGCCCGGACCTGCTGGGCCACATCCTGGACCAAATAAGAGTCTGGCTGGGGTGGGACATCTGACCACGCTGACCGGCCATATCTCCAGCTCAGAAGACCCAGAGCAAAAGGGGAAGTAACTGGACCTCCAGGCTGGGACCCGGGCTGGCTGGAGGGGGGGAGGAGAAGGGTTCTAGATCCCAGCCTTCCTCTTCCTAGATCAGGTGCCAGCCCCCTGCCCGCCTGCGTCAGGGACACAAGGACTCCTTCCCTTTCCAGCCTGGAAAGCCCCCGCCTGCCCCCACCCTCATCCTGAGCTGTGGGCCTGGAGGAAGAGACCTGGAGCCCCCAAGGACAATCCTCCCACCCCTGTCCTGCTCATCAGCCGTCCAGGACCCTGGGCCTGCCTCCAGCCTGGGGTTTCCACAAACATGTGTCGTGGGGCAGGGGGGAAGGGCCCTGCAGCCGACCGGGGCCAGGCCCAGCCGAGCAGCTGCCCACGGTGGGCATGTGCCAGGGCCTCACTGGACAGGGCCTCACTCCTCGGACCCTGTGATGGACCCTCAGTGGGACTCTGAGCTCTGGCACCAGGTGTCCGAGAGGAGCAGGTTGGCAGGGTGGGGTGAGGTGGCCCTGTTAGAAGCAACAGGAGAAACCTCCGCCTCCTGGCAAAGAGCTGAGCACAGCAAGTCTGCAGTGTGAGGGGCTGGGAGCCCATGGCAGAGCCGAGCAGATGGTGAGCAGGGGAAGTGGGCAATGCCACCACAGGAGAGGCGGGGGTGCTGGTCCGGGACTCGGTGAGGCCTCCGAGGGAAGGAAGCCTGCCTTCCCCAGGTGCCCCAGGCCTGGGCGGGGGGCAATGGCTGGGTCCTCGGTTTCTGGGGAGCCCTTCTGGGGTGCCCTTCCTATGAGCACCTCGCCTCACACCCAGAGGATGGGTGGAGGCGGGGTAGGAGTGGAGGTTCGTGCCTCAGGTCATCTCCAGGGTGCAGGCAGGGGTGGGGCGGGGGGAGGATGCTCTGGTTTTCCCTCACCCTGGGCAGATGAAAGGAGTTTGCTCAGGTGCGGCTGAGTGCAGTGTGCACCTGTAATTTCAGGGTACCTCTGCCTGGTGGCTGCCGTGATTTGAGAACCTCGGGTTTCTTAGATGACTGATTCTGGGAGCTGTAGATGAATAATGTCGGTGAGTGTCTGCTTCTTAGAGAGGCCCAGGCTGGGAGACGGGGCTGTGGGTGAGGACGGGGAAACAGCCTGTCTTTCTGTGTCCTTCACAGGGTGTGACTGTGCCCAGAAGCTTCAGGCTTTGGTGGGCCTGGGCCGGGGCAGCCCTGCTCGTGGCCCTCTGGCTCCTGTGGCTACCCTGGTGGGGCGCTGGGGAGGTCCCAGTGCCCCGGGGCACACTCACCATCCTGATCTGGCACTGGCCCTTCGTCAGCCAGTCCCCAGAGCTGCCCAGCGACACCTGCGCCCGCTACGGCGTGCCCCACTGCCGCCTGAGCACCAACCGCAGCCTGCTGGCCAGCGCCGACGCTGTGGTCTTCCACCACCGGGAGCTGCAGAACAGGCGCACCCAGCTACCCCTGGCCAAGCGGCCACCGGGGCAGCCCTGGGTGTGGGTGTCCTTGGAGTCGCCTACCTACACACATGGCCTTAACCGCTTCCAAGGTATCTTCAACTGGGTCCTGAGCTACCGGCACGACTCAGACATCTTTGTGCCCTACGGCCGCCTGGAGCCCTGCGAGGGGCCCGCGCCCCCTCTGCCGGCCAAGAATGGGGTGGCTGTCTGGGTGGTCAGCAACTTCCACGAGACGCAGCGGCGTGTGCAGCTGTACCGGGAGCTGGCGCCACACCTGCCAGTGGACGTGTTCGGCCAAGCCAACAGGCGGCCACTGTGCGGGAACTGCCTGCTGCCCACCATCGCCCGGTACCGCTTCTACCTGGCCTTCGAGAACTCGCAGCACACAGACTACATCACGGAGAAGCTCTGGCATAACGCACTGACGGCCGGCACTGTACCCGTGGTGCTGGGGCCACCGAGGGCCACCTATGAGGCCTTTGTACCTCCTGACGCCTTTGTCCACGTGGACGACTTCAACTCCACCCGAGAGCTGGCTGCCTTCCTTGTGGGCATGAATGAGACCCAGTACCGGAGCTACTTCACCTGGCGAGAACGGTTCTGTGTGCGACGGTTCAAAACCTGGGAGGAGCGCTTCTGCGCCATCTGTGCCCGCTACCCCCACCTGCCCCGCGACCAGGTCTACCAGGACCTCCAGGGCTGGTTCCAGACCTGAGCTCCGGCAGGCAGAGGAGGTGGGGGAGAATGGCTGAGAATGGGCTGTGTGGGTGCACAGCTGGATGGTCAAGTCAAACCACCAGGCCTCTGACTCCCACAGGCAACTGTCAGGCTAACATGGAGGCTGGAGTCAGACAGTGGGCTATCTGGGCGGGCTGCCTGGAGGAGGAGGTGGTGGGCATTGGAGCAGGCATTTGTGGGGGAGGTGAGAGCAGTGAGGGAATCAATGGGGTACGTGATGTGGAGGTGGATCGGAGAGGCTGCTAAGGACCTCTCTCCCCACCTTGATCAAATCTTGGGTAAGTCAAGGCTGTGCCTTGATGTGGGGATGTGGAGACTTGGGGCTGAGGACATGCCACCCTGTGGTTTGTGGGGGCAAAACCTGCCCCCCTGGAGCCTCCTCTGTACCCAAGGTCCCCAGGCCCAGGGTATGCAGCCACACTGCCCACTCCGACCACAGGTCTGGAGTCCTGATGTGCAGCCCTGTGCTGCTGGGCACTGCGCTGAGCAAGCCTGCAGCCCACTCGGGGAGGGGCCATTGACCAATAAAGAAATGAAAGACGAGTGGTATGTGTCAAGTCTGGGAAGCACAGGACCCCACATATCTGCCACCCCGCCACACAGGCCTCCTTGTCCCATTCAAGGAACTTCCTGCTCCACCTCAAGGACTCCCTCTGCCCGAGACACCCTCCCCCGGATGGCTCTGCCACTCCCCTGTTCCTCCAGCCTCCACCAAATGGCTGGGAATCAGAGTCTTCCCTGACCCCCCAAAGACCGAGTGGGCAAACAGCAGGGGGCAAAGTCAGGAACCTGGCTGCGGGGAGGGTGGAAGATGCCCGTTCTCGAAGACCTGGAATTTCATCCTCAGGCTGGATCTGCTTTCTGATGTGGGTTTCCCTCTGCCAGGCAGCTGGTGGCAGGGAGGCAGCGAGGGGCCCCCAGGACGCTGCTGCAGCTGGGGACGCTTGGGGGCAGGGGGCTGAATAAGAGAAGCTGGGGGTGCTGACAGGGGCCCCAACAGGCTGAGCCCCTGTGACAGGAGCTCAGGACTTGTTCCTGCCCTAGGTGGGGTTGGGCCAGTGGGCCTAGGCAGGAAACTGCCCTCCCCCTTGGCAGTGGCTTGCAGGAGAGGCCTGCCGGTGACTTCCTGTCCTGACCTAGCCCGGCGGTCCTTCCCAAGGCTGACCACTCTCCCATCTTCCGACCCAGCCAGGGAGAAGGAAGTGTGCTCAGGCTGCAGGGGTGGGTGGGTGGGGCATGGTGCCCACACACCTGCCCCAGGCTGCCCCCCCCCCCCCACTTCAAAGAAGGAGCTGGGAGCTTCAGTCCCCGAGGTCTGCCATCAGTGTTCGGTGTGACCTCTATGTGCACCCCAGACACTGGCCATCACATAACCTCCGGTTCCCATTCACACGTGGAGAAACTGAGGCTGAGAAGGAGTCATCAGAGCCACCCACCGGGCCTCGCAGGGTGCAGGGGCTGGCCTTCCCTCTGCTGCCCTCTGCTGACCACCTCGGGAATGGACGCTGCAACCTCCCAGCCCTCTCAGGCCGCATCTCCGGTTCCTGCTCCAGCAGGCACCAAACCACCTCTGCGTGATTCACTGGACCCCAAACCCCCTGTGCAGAGGTCAGTCTCGGCCTCCGATATGGCCGCAGCTGCTGCTCTGGAAAATGAGCCGCTCACAGAGGGGGCAGCCTCAGTCCCCCCAAGCACCCTGCCTTTACCTGCTGCACAGGGCAGTTCTGGGGTCAGCGCCCCCCCCCCCCCCCGTGCCCAGGAAGCAGCCAGGCCCATCTTGCCACTTAGTCCCCAGGTGGCTCACTCCCCAGGGACATGGGAGGGGCAGCCCCACCCCCACTAAGGGCGCAGGTTGGGTGGAACGTGGAGTCTCCAAGCCTTGAGGGTAGTGGACGACCGGCCCAGGTGGAATCTCCATCCAGGGTCACGATCGCCCCTCCCCAAGTGAGGGAACTGTCCCCCTCCAGCCGGCAGTGACCGGAACCTGGGGCTTAGACGTCCAGCTGAGATTCCCGCCACTAGTCCTGCGAGGGAGGCGGGCGGATGAGGTGACCCGGTGGGGGCCCAGCGTCCCCTCAGGACGCTCTCGGGGCCAGTAACCACCTTGGGGCGCCTCTGCGAGAGGATTCGAACGGGGGTGAGGACTGCGCGCAGGCCTGGGGACCCCGGGAGAAGAGCGCCCTGGAAGGGGTGAGTGAGGATCTGGGTTGGATGTGGGCCCGTGGGCCGTCCTTCCAGCGCCTGGCGGGATGGGGACGACCGGAAGCCTCGGTGGCGGGCAGAGCTCCAGGAACTGCCCGCGCGAACGGGCGGCGTCGGGGGCCGGGGGCGGGACAGCCGAGGCGAGCGCGGCGCCTTTAAGCGGAGGCGGCGCGGGCGGAGGCGGGTGCCAGCGGCTGTCGCCGCTCCTCCGGGGCGGAGCCAGTGGGGAGCCGGTCCCGGACGCGAGACCCCGCCCCGCGCGGGTGATGCCGAGCGGCTCGGCGCACGGCGGGGCCGGCGGGGCGCGCAGAGGAGCGGGCCGCGGCGCAGAGGCGGCCGAGCGCGGCCCCGCCATGGGCTTCCTGCACCAGCTGCAGCTGCTGCTCTGGAAGAACGTGACGCTGAAGCGCCGGAGCCCGGTGAGCGACCCGCGCCGCGGCCCCCGGCCGCCCAGGCCGCGCGCACCGGGCCGGCGCCACGCTCCCCACGCACACGTGCGGCGCGGGCCGGGCGCGCGCAGACCCCGGGCGGGCGCGGGGGTGGCGCGAGCGAGGCGGCGGGCCACAGCCCCCTGCCAGTCGGGTCCCGCGCGCCCCTGCTCCGGCTCCAGCCTCCGGGTCGGGGGCTCCTCCGCGCCCAGCCCGCAGCCCGCGCCCGCTGACATTCGCGGTGCTTGGCTGAGTCACGGGCGCGCTCTCCAGGGCCAGTTTCAGGGGTGGGGAGACAGGCGGGCCGGGGACCCTGGGGTGGCAGGAGGCTTTGGATCCCAGGACAGAGGGCTGGCCTGGGGGACTTGGTTCAGCTCCGGGGCTCCGTGGTCTCTGGGCCCAGCCCCCTGGAGCCCCTGCAGGGACCTGCCCCTTCCCTCCCTGCGCTGCCTCTCTGCCCTTGGGCAGGCTCTCCTCCTCCCACCATGTCCACCAGCCCTGGCTGTTACTGCTTTCTCACCACTGGGAGGGAATGTCCTTGCTGTGCCAGCCGCGGCTGCCTGAGTCCGGCACCCTTTTGTCCTTTGGGGCAGCCCTCCCCGGGGCTGATCCACTCCCTTAGCCCCCTGACCCAGCCTCCGCTGGGGGCCAGGCCGAGCTGTTTGGAGCTATGACCACCGGGCTCCCCACTCTCTGAGAGCTCAGGGGCAGCAGCTGTCAGGGGCAGGAGGCTTGGGGAGGAACAGGGCTGGGGTGGTGTGGATGTCGTCATGCTGGCCTCACCGACCTGGTCCCAGGAAGGGCAGCAGCACCTACTGGGGAGGCCTGGGCAGCTTGGGTTTCTGAATGGGCTCTGGGGATTTTCCAGAAGACAACCCAGAGCAGGCCAGGTCTGGAGTGGGGGCCTGAGGAGGAGACATCCTCTTGCCCACTTGGGGCCCAGGAGGGCCCTGTCCCCCCTGGCCCTGGGACCCCTGGGGCCGACACTCCTGCCTGGGTCCCTCCTTAGGAAGGGCTTCGAAGTGCACAATGGGAAACTCGAGGCTGCGGACTGGGCAGAGTGGCCATCATCACCATGGCCTGGCAGGATTCCCCTGGGCACCTGGCCCTGGCCAAGAGCCAGGGTTGGGTACACGCTCTGCCTAGGGTGCCTAGAGCTGCCTGGCTCTGGGTCAGGCCTGCAGCCCAGGTAGCCTCTGATGCAGCCTCCCCACCTCAGATTTTAGGTCACTGGGGACAGCAGGGTGGGGCTCAGGCGAAGAAGGGAGATTGGGTACGAGCCCCGTGGTTCTTGGCGGGAAGGGCCCCCTTCCGCAGAGTCTGGAACGACGGTTCCTGCCTCCACCCGGGCCTCCGAGGCTCAGGGAAGGGAGCAGGGCACCTGGCAAGCAGGTGGGAGGTGCCCACTGTCCTACACCCCGGAGTGGCCCCCACCTGCTATGTGGGCCTTCCCCAGAACCTTCCTGTGCCCCTGCCCCACAGCCCCTGTGGAGGTCCTTGGCCTGCTGCCACTGGTACAGGTGGCCGAGGCCCTGCTGGCTTGTGTTGTGGGGTTGGGGCTGCCTGGATGCAGGGCACGATCCTGCTGGACCCCCAACTTCCCGGGAGGGTCTCGAGCTTCAGAGTTGGACCCCTGGGCTTGGCCCGCAGAGGTTTTGCCCTGTGTACTGTGGGCCTCGCTCGGGGGCAGGGGAGGCGCACCCGGTGGACGCTTGGTCTGGAGTGTAGGAACCCAGGACCTCTGTCCCTTGCTTGCTCCCTCTTCCTGAGCTCTGGGCCTTGGCTTCTCCCTCTGTGGGTGTGACCTGTCACCTCTGAGCAGTGCAGGGGCCACAGGCTGCTCCTGGTGAAGGGACTGCTGTCATCAAGTCACTGGTGCAGGAGGCAGCAACTCCATCCTCGTCTCACCTGTTCTGCCCTTGACCCAGCAGGAAGGAGCTCAGGCCGGGCCCCAGAGACAGCACGGGGGCACTGGGCTGGCTCAGGGACAGGGGTTGCTGTGACCCCCTTGCAGGTCCCTGGGTGAGATGCCAGGTGGGGCTGGACCAGGGCGCCTGCCTGTAACCAGATGCCCCTCTGGCCACCTGCCCTCCGCCCGCCCAGCAGGCCTCTCCTCCTCCTCCTAGCAGCTCGTGTGCAGCCGTTGCTATAGCAATGAGGAGGCAGCGAGGCCTGTTGCTGCAGTTACTTGCTGGAGGTGCCCCGTGGCAGGGTGGGTGTGGGTGGGGCTGGCAGGCCGTGACCCAGGCTTCCTGAGTGGCTGCTCAGACGCAGCACCTCGCTCTGGGTGCTCGCAGGTGTGTGCTGTACGTCTGTCCCTGCCCCGCGGGTGCCCACGATGCCGCCTCAGCCAGGCTTGGGCTGGATCCTGGCTTGGGGAGGGGTGGAGGCTGGCACCGGCTGGGGCGGGTGTTCCAGACCACAGAGCACTATTGTCAAAGCACAGTAAACACAGTACCAGCTGCCCCACCCCAGGGGGCTAGGGCCTCAAACCCTGGGCCAGACAGGGTGCCCCTGGGAAGGGGCCTCTGAATCTGTGGTTGGGGGGCGAGGATGAAGGAGCCCTGGTGCTTCTGAGAAGAGCTGGGGGGCTGGGGTCCGGGCATACCCTTGGGCTGGGCAGGGGGCTCCCCCAAGAGCAGGTGGCCTGAGAGTCTCCTCCTGCCCCCGCCCCCCGAGCTGGGAGAGGTAGAGGTGAGACAGTGAAGTCCCTTCCGCTGTCCAGATGAAACTGAGCCCAGGGCCCCCGGCAGTTCCTTCCCGCTCAGAGCAGGTCCAAGCAGGCCTCAGCCGGTGCCTAGCCTCGGGTGGCAGGAGCCGTCCCAGGAACACTGAGCAGAGGCCCAGGGTGGGCAGGGCTGCTGCACCCAGCTGAGCCACCTGAGGTGAGGGAGAGGGGCCAGGCCGAAAGAGGTGCCCCTGCCTAGGGACCCCGACCAGGTCTTCCAGGAGGCTCAGGCCCCTGGGCTAGAGCCAGGCCTCACATCCCTAGGCCCCAAAGGTGGGGAAGAAGAGCTGGGCACATGCAGGGGTCAGAGTGGACCACAAGCTGGCAGATTTGTCCTTGCTGGCCCTCAGTGTAGCAAACAGAACCTGGGCTGGGGGTGCAGGAGACCCATTTCTCACTTGGGCCAGACAATACTTACCCTTCGAAAGGTCCTCTAAGGAAGGGTTGACCTTTGGTGGCCCCTGAGGGAGCACGTGGAGGCTGAGCTGGCGCCTCGGGAGGGCGTCTGCCTGGCAGGGAAGGGCTTCAGGTATGTCCTGTGCAGGCCTGGGTAGGTGGCCTCACCCACCTGACCTTTCCAGTGGGTCTTAGCCTTCGAGATCTTCATCCCTCTG